TTATGAACTTCATGCATGATATAGTGATATATGTAATTGGGTGTTACTACGTAGCCCAGAATTATGTCATTAGTGAATCATCAACGTGCCGGTTGAATATCTACGGTGTGCCAACAGTATGGCTTGACCTCCAGGTGCACTGAGGATGTTTTAACTGTTGCATGGTGCAATTGTCAGATTAATAATCTAAGTAATTCTCCTGAATGGCTTGACCTTCTAGATTATTAGAGTTGTTTAACTGATACATACTATAATATTGTCAATTGAGTAATTCAAGTAATCCTCATGAATGGTTTGACCTTCTGGTTTACTTGGATTAGTCAATTAACACATAATACCATCAGCTAACTTAAGAAGTTGTTGTGTTATGGTTTAATAATACCACCAACTAACCTAAGAAGTTGTTGTGTTATGGTTTAATATGCATATACTTAATATAATATTATATTGTCAATTGACTAATTCCAGTGATCCTCACGAATGGCTTGACTTTCTGGTTTACTTGGATTAGTCAATTATCATATATATATAACCAGCCAACCTAAGAAGTTGATGAGTTATTGTCTAAATAAAACTACTAGCTAACCTAAGAAATTATTTGTGTTATAGTTTATATACATCAGACCTACTATTTGACTTACCAGTGACTTGGAAGTTAATTGTTTTAAGGTGGTATTTCTAGCACTTATCCAATATAATGCATATGGGATCCCTAAATTGATGACCAAATAAAAGCCACACATTCTTGCCATATGAAACGACATCGTTTTTAAATGCTACAAGCCTACAAATAACAAATGGCAAAAACCACGCTGTTTTGGTAAAAATTTTAAGATCAATGGTCGACGTTTAGCACAAACGCCACGACATCGTTTTTGAATGCTACAAATAACAAATGACATAAACCACTCCCTTTTGGTAAACATTTAAAGATCATTGGTCGACGTTTAGCACAAATGCTAGTATTATTTAAGAAGATTTATTGGAAAGCATCATTGTTTATACTAAACGCCAGCTAATACACTTTTTACTTATAAGGAATGTCGACAAATGAACGTCTGCAAAAGCCTATATTTTTGTAGGGAACATGACTATAATCTATAATAATAAGATAGAACTAATTTTGAATCTCTAAGTTGAAAAAGCACAAGAACGATTTAGATTTATTTAAGAAAATTGATCTAACGGTCTAAAACCACTCCTAAAAAATTTTCTCCCTCAAATATGTCACATCCAAACCCAATCCCAAAGTCTAAAATTGATACAAAGTTGAAATCACTCTCAATCCTTCTCTTACGTTTCTTCTCTCTCTTACGTCACCCCTCTCAGCCTCAATCTCTCATACACTCCCCAAACTTCATCTCTCTCCCCCGCCTACCCACCCTCTCTCTACCCCCATCTCCCTCATATCTTTGCCCTTCTCTGTGCTCCTCTACCTCCGTCTCTCTCACCCTCATCTCTGTTCTTCCACCCCCATCTCAGTTGAAGCAAACCATCGCCAACAATAATGACGACGATGCTTCCTAACCCTTAGTCGAAGCAAACCATCGCCAACAAATCAAGCCCATGATTTTGGTTATTACCATATTTCTTAGAGAAGGCCAGCACCACCACCACGACACCAGCGTCCCTCTGAGGTAGTTTTCTTTCTCCCCCCCTCCCCACCCCTTGTTTCTGTCATCCTTTCTGCGCACAAACCACCCCCATTGATGCCCTAATTCGCATCTCCTCTCTTCTTAATTCTCTCATTCTCTCTTTTTCCCTTCCCCGTTTCTTTTCTCTTCATCTCTCTGCTACGTCGGTAACCACACCACTCTATGTATCTCTGTCTCTCTCTCTGCACAACACACATCGTATGCAAGGTGTTCGACCAAATGCACACAAGGTGTTCGATCAAATGACTCAACGCACAACACGCTCGCCACATGCCACATGCCACACACACATCCCCTATTTCCTCTTCTTAGATTTGTTATTTAATTTTTTTTCTCCTTTAATTTTTGTATTCATTTGATGCTAAGTTTTGGTTAAAGATGGCTATTAATATTACTGTTTTTGTTCGTTTATTCTCATTTCAGTTTCAATCGAATGGAATATTTTTGCAGTTGATTGGGTATAAGAAATGAATGTTGTTGTGGGTAGCTAAGGCTCTATACTTCGTCGATGCGCTGCCAATCATAGCTATCTAAGGCTTTGTGCTTCTTTAATCTATGATTTGGGTGCACTTTTAGATTGTTGATCAATTTAATAGTATTAATTTTTTTATGGGTGTTTTGGCATTTGGATAGTTTGGCAAAGTTTGATGGTTGATTTTAGAATTGAATCACTAAATGTTGTGTAACTTGGTGGATATTTAACCTATATTTTGATGTTTATAGGTGTTGTTAATATGCAAAGAATGTTTGGAGAATTGAGTTTGTATATGTTTGCAGGTTTTTAATTTAATGTTTTTCAATTGTGTTTTGAGTTAGTTATTTGAAGCAATGAAAGATTCATAAGATCATTTTTATATTCGAAATTTGATTTGTTTGCTTATTTGTTTTTTTCAATTGAATGGGTCAATGTACTTGAGAAATTAATAGGAAAGGGCTAGATATTTATCTTTTTACAGAGACAATTGAATTACAGGATGCACAAAGCTAAAGTTGGATATCTTACCAAGTTTATGGATCATGATTTTAAGGGGGAGAGGAGGAAATGGGTCGTGGTCGTTGGTGGGGTTTGATGGGAAAAGATGGCGTGCTCTTGGAGGGGACATTAAGTATGGTATACATGTATGTTAATTGGTAATATTTGTTGGTGAGATCATGAATTATCACCTTTTTTTTTTTGGGTGCACGTGATCAAGCCACTATGTTGGTTTTCATATAGGTGGTGACACTGGGGGGTTCAATGTACTAAGATTGTAATTTTGTTGGAATTAAGATACTGTCATTAATTTTGAGTTTTTGCTTTTGTTGGTTAAAATTCATTGATGGTTGTTCAATTTATATCAATGATTTTTTATTTTTTTATTCCAATTTTTTGTGTTATAAAATGTTGTTAGGCACAGACATTAACTTTAGAGGTTTTGTTGTTTTTCGTATTTTAGGCAGTTACGTGCTAAGGTATTGCGTCGGTGATTATAATGTTATTTGGATGATTACATTTAAGCTACTATATGTTAATGCAGTTAGATAATCATTTGCAATAAAGTACACTTTGAGTTTAATTCAATTTTATTGCATGAAGCATACATTTTTATTTTTTTTATACAAATATGAGGGGACACCATTAATTGCATGAGGTATTAATCTGGTGAAGCTTATAGTTGTAGAGATTGGGTTAAATCTCAATGTCCACATGGAGCTTATTGCAATGTGGTTGATATTTCTAATTTACTTGGTAGGTCGAATTGTTACTATAAGTATAGTAAATTTTACTATTGGTATGATATTTATGACAAACTACTTCAAATCTTAGTTTTCTATCTAATAAAATGTAAGAACATCATTTTCATTGCGATTGAGTTTCAATTTCGTTTTTTAAGTGTTGAATTAAGGATTTGTTAATTGTTGAATGTTATAGTTGGTAGTTGTACTGTATGTAGTTTGCATGTGTTTTGTTTGTATGTAATTTATTTCAATTTTTTATTACGTCATGTCTTCATGTACGGGCAATTACTAGTATCAGATATAGGATCTCAAAGTTATGTCAATCACTCAAATATCTCACACACACAATTAAGGAGCATAAAAAATCCAAATGGAAGAAAAGATAACAAAAGCTACCCAACCTACTAGGTCCTTAAAACCATAAACAAATCTTAGTTCTAAGCTAACTAAAATTCCTTACTGCCATATGACTTTAGGAAGACCTCTTAAACTAGAAGACAAATAACCCATTCTAAATAAACTACTAAATAACTAATGAGAATTTAGGTCAACCTCCAATAATATTCAATTGATTTCAATTGCAGTAAGCCCGTGTTTTGATTTTTGTTTTGTTTTTGAATTTTTCGATTATTTGCATGTTATTTAGCAACAAAGAAGACCCTTCATTTCTTAATGGAACAAGATTAATGAACAAATGATTTGGATGACAGTGTTCAGTGTGATAACAAAGGTAGATAATTGAATAAATGATCACCGCAAAAAGTAGCATTCCCTAAAAGTATCATGTACCGCCAGCTTAAAATCTTTCATTATTAAAGGTTGAATTGAAGAATTTCTCTTATAGTTTACTTTGCTTCCACTTCTGCTTTAAAGAGATCAAAAAAAAAAAGAACTTCTGCTTTAAAGGCAATAATTAACCATAGCATAAATCTACTAAAAGCTTAAACCCAGTCATGGTCATATGTTATACATTTTCCGGATTTTTCAATATCGTAGATTAAAACGACGGACATGAGTAAGAACGGTAATCATCTGTAAGAATTTTATTTTTACCAAAGCATCTAACAATTCAAGTTGAAGATCCACACAATTACTTTAAATGTTGAGAAAAGGGCAAAAAGGAGAAAAGAAAAGGAATACACCAAAGTCACATATCAAGGACAATTTGAGTTTTGTGTTTTGCAGAACCATCTTTGTGTTTCTTACTGTTGAATAAAAGTGGTATTGATACAACAAGTTAGTATAGCAAACAATGCAAGAGTATAAATAAAAATACCTATAAGCGGAGATGCAAGAAATCACTGTACAGATAAAGCTAAAAACAACTACGACTTAATGGGAAGTGGGTAAATCATGCATTAAGGAACTAACAAATCTGTCACGTTTACATGTGAGACGTCCAGTTAATGGTTTTTGCAGAACCTTCATTTAATTCTTTGGACCTCCACTTGGGCTCATGCACGATAAGTGTATCGCTACATACTAACCCACAATTGCTATGGTCTTTCCATTCAATAGTATGCAAGGTCCAAGATGTTTGCTTTCCTAATCGATGTGGGATAAGCGAAAAGTAACAAAGGTAAGGAAAGGTTTTGTATTAAGAGAGTCATCAGTGACATTAAATAGGGAAAGGAAAGGTTTTGTATACAATCAACAATTAAACATACTCATATTCAAAGGCCCAAATTTCAACCATGATGCCTCTATGCTCTCGTTTAGTTATTTTACAGATTAATTTCCTACATAGCCCTTCAATCCTCCCCCTACCTTTCTCTCATCTATACATTTTCATATCTACAAACCCTAACCATTTTATGAATTATATACCATTAAAAGAAAACACACCAATTATACCCTTACAAAGAAAATACTCAGTTCAGGTCCATTGTTGCCATCTGGGCTCAACATGTAAAGTGTCTCCGAGTCTTTCGATCCAACCACACGTTCGAAATGTGCTCTCATGTACGCCATTTCGCCGTCTGGCCCATCCACCTCTGATCTTCCCGGCAAGACTCCAGCGCCCATCGACACCGGCCGGAGAACCTCCATGACATGTAGATCCTCCTCCGAGGCCTCTCTTTTGACGCCATACCCACTCTTCTTCCCATTACAGTACATGGTCCACAATGGCTCCTCCATGAGCTTCGTCTTGTCTTTGTCTGATCTCTTATCGGATTCCATGGCGATTCTCACCATTCCCAAACTCATTTCCTTTTGCAAAACATTAGTTTGCATGGCCAATTCCACCACCAATGCGGGGAGGGTCCGAGGATTTTCTTGAATGGAGAGGGTTACACGGCCTTTGCGGTATCCAAACAAAGTTCCCGTGATGCGATTGCCGGCGCTGTGCCGGTGACCGTCCGGTAAACGGCCGCCGGGGAGAGAGGGAAATTTGCAGACGGGTGTTATGATGGGCAATGATCGGAAAACGGATCGGAAGACTCGGAAGGCTCTGGTGGGTTTGTTTTTCTTCTTGATTGAAGGCTGGACAAGAGACGGGGTTGGTGGAGGCGGTGGTGGTGGTTCTGAAGATGTGGGTGGTGGTGGTCCGCTGGGACTGGATCTTGGCTCCCCCATTACCGGAACTTCGGAAACCAGCAATGAGAGAATGCCATGAGAGAGAGAGAGAGAGAGAGAGAGAGAGTTTTGGGCTGTGCTTCCGGACCTCAATTTATGGTCGTTAAGTTAGGTATTGGCCAGCTTACCTGTCACGTCCTATTTCCAGCAATTTATTGGCTTCAAATTTAAAACGACAGCCAAGCGATTGGAATTTAAAGGGCGGTCAGGGTCTCCAACGGTCAAAAATATAAAAATTTAAATTAATTTAATTTAATTTACTTGCCTAATAAATTGATATAAACTATTAAGAATAATATTATTTGGATTTAATGTGGACTTAATGATTCACAATTATTGGATTCGATCAATATTATTAAGATTTAATTTATTGATTAAATTTGGTAACCTAATGTATTATAGCTTCTAAATTGTCTATGAACATTTTCAAACATTCGAACTTAGTATTAATTCAATAATTACAATAACACTACATTATTGGGTCAATAAATAAGATCAGATTTTTAGGTCTCAATATCATTACTCATTAGATTTAATGAAGACTCACTATCAATTCAATGATTGTGATTCATTAAATCAAAAAATAAGACACTAAATTAGATTTAAATAGTATTTTCCAACTATTAATGTCATTAGCGAGTATTTGGATAATCGGTTAAAAAGGATTAACTTTAGTTGGATTGTATTGGATAAAATTTCAATGAGTCCCATATACCTCATGTTGGGGAAATCAAAAATAAGGTTGGATATCTAATTCCGGTTTATTCCTAGTTTGAAATGAATAGTAAGTATTAGTCTCTTTACATGGGTTAAATGAAACCCACCCCAACCCACAGGTGAGTTAAAAAAACCAATCGACAGTATATCTCACTAATTTACTTATTTACCCTTCTCCTTGACAAAAGCCCTATTCAGTTGCTGACTTGTAGCTTCCAATTTCAAATGCTCCATGGACAAAAACGGGGATGATGTACGCTTTGGACATTAACGAAGATCACGGCGAGGTCTTTCTCGAAGGAGAGGACATCATCCAGGAAATCACCGTCAACGAAGAAGGTTCTCTCTCTCTCTCTGTGTGCAATTGTATTTATCTGCTCCTGTTTCTTTTGATTTCAGATCTTCCCGATGTGGACGATGATGGAAGATCCAACGTTGATGCCATAGGCACGTCCAATTTATACGTTTCTTTACCCTTTTTCTAAATTATATAATTATTACATGGAGCCGAAGCAATCTTTCTCTCACCTCTCCCCACTTTATTGAGCAGCCGTGATTATGCCTTGTTTTTTTTATTTTGGTTGGAGTGGGTGTTTTCAAAGGTGTCAATGTGAAATATTACTTGTTGAGGGAAATGGTTTGCAGAAGTTTATGTGAGGCGGGGAGAGATTTTCTACGGATAGTAATGGCCTAATCTATAGATCCCACGAAAATTACATAGTTGCTAACCAAAAAATGAGTTGGAGAGGATCTAATCCATTCCTATCTGGTTTCCCAAACACCCCTCAAGATTGGTGGTGAGTAATGGGTTCCTATCCATAGCTATATTGTAGTCTTATTGTCAATTTAATTTATATAATAAAGTAACACTGTGCTTGAATCTTAAACTTATATCGAGTTTTTAACGTTTCAAATTATTTTATTAATATTGATCCAACAATCTTACTAGAACCCTAAAACATTTTTTCTGCCCAAGAATTTTAATAGGACTGTAATTCCATGTCGGACTTGAACTCCCATCTCTCAGACCGTTATTCCACATACGTCTGTCTCTCTATCACACACACCAATTGCCTGTATACCCCACCCCCAGCCTAAAAACCTCCCTCCCAAAAAACCAAAGCTAAAAACCTCCATCCAGAAAACCCCCAATCCAGAATCCCCCACCTAGAATCCCCAAACTCAAAATCGCCTCACCCAGGATTAGGGGTGCAATTTGGGTTGGGCAACCCGATTTCAACCCGAGTCCAACCCAAAAAAATTATGACTTGAGCAAGAGTTTTTAATATTTGGGTTGGGTTTGAGTCAAAAAACTTCAACCCGAATTTAATTTGGGTTGGGCTCGGGTTATGACCTTGAGTTCACGGGTTCAATCCGAATCCAACAAATTAAAAAAAAATATATATATATATATATAACACTAGTTTTTTTATTTTTTTCTATCGTTCTCTGTCTCTCTCTCGTTCATTTTTATTTTTGTTCTAGTATTAGCACTGTTAAAAACTTGATTTAAATTATTGGTTGTTAATTTAGGTGAATATTATGTAATATATGTATTAAGTTCAGAACAACAAGTCTCTTTTGGACTCTACCTGAACTCAACTGAAATTGAACCCATAAAATAACCCGAAATCAGTCTAAAATCATTAACTCGAATTCAACCCGAATCTGCCCGAATTAAACTCTGGCAGTGCTCGGGTTGAGTTTCTCAACCCGAAGTAGGGTTAGGGTCAAAGTTGAAGATTATATACTTAGAGTTGGGCTAAGGTTAATTGTTCAACCCGACCGAGAGTTGCACCTCTACCCAGGATCTCTCTTTCCCTCTCTCTCTCTCTCTCACACACACACTCACTCACTCCACTCCACTGTCCACGACCTTCCTTCTCCTACTCTTGGGCCACCTAAAACTCCCTACCTCATACTGATCTATCCATTCAATCTCATACAAACCCTAACCCTAGAATTCCTCCTACAAACACACATGGCCAGCAACACCCAAGAACCTTTCCTCCATGGCCAATAAAACCACTAGCCACCAAATGGTTAACGAAATCCCTAAAAGCAATTATGGATTTGTTCTTGTTTTTTCTACCAATCACATCCTTTTTTTTATCTTCATTTGGTGCATTAACTAGGTAAAACCCACCCACACACACACACCAGTGATGAGAGAGGCAACATCAAGGAGTGCAACTAGGTTTTCGCAATGACCAAGTCTATTTTTTAAGTTCATATAGCATTACTCCCCAAATAATATGGCACAATTTTTTATCATCAGATGAGTAGGTCCCATTAATATTCAATAAAAGAGCTTGTGCCACATCATTTGTGAAAGAAGAGTTAGTAAGAAAATTTGGTAAACATAGAATTTTCCTAATTTCTTAGCTCGAGTTACTAATATATTTGCATGATCTTTCTATGGTACCGACTTTTTACCTTTTCGATATATTACCAAAAAATGAACATCCACCATTGATCTATAATTAAAGAGTTACACCTGTTGATGAAATTTAAAATACAATTTTACCTTTTATCGGATACCCACTCAGTAGGTTTGAGCCTTGACAAATTCATAAAAAAAAACATTTCGACAAGGACAAAGAAAGAAGAAGATGGAGTGGCAAACTTTCTTTTATTCTTATGAACCATTCAAGAGATTATAAATTAATTAGTAGGTTGAGATTGTAGTAATCTTATATTTAATAAAAAAATACACTTAAAACTTTTTATAATAAGATTATCATGTTTTTGGGTAACATTACAACTGATTGGATAAGAATACAACGTATTGAGGGTAAGATTATCAATTTTGGGTAAGAATACCACTTTTTTAGATAAGATTCTCACTTGTTCTAGTAAGATTACTATTTTTGATAGAGCTAAGGTTACCAACTTTGGGGGTAAGGTTACTGGTGGGGTAATAATATAACTAGATTACAACTCTTTTGGTAATAATACCATTTTTGGGAGTAAAAGTTACCACTTTTTTAATAAAATTACCACCCATAAAATTGGTGAAGTTACCAATTTGTGACCTAAAGTTATCACTGATTGGGTAAGAATACTATTTTTTCGGGTAAGGTTACCATCTTTTTGGTAAAATTAATACTGGGTAAAATTACCAATTTTTGGGTAAGATTACTACTTTTTTTGGTAAGTTTACCACTTTTTTCTTTTCTTAAAATCAAGACCAGTCTTAGACGAAGCTTACCGATCTTAATCAGGATCGATCCTGGCATGTTTAGCAATCAAGTTTACCGATCACACATACAACTAAATTAGGACCGGTCTTGGCATATTTAGTGATCAAGTTTACAAATCAAAGCTTTAGCCTAAATTAGGACCAATCCTGGCATGTTTAGTGACTCAATTCATTGTATTAACTTTCTAAATCAAACAATAAAGATTCAATTTGTCAAATTAACACCAAAATAATATACAATCTTATCTAATTAATATTCAATTCATCAAATTAACACCAATTAACATTTAATTTTATTAATAAGCGTTTAATTCATTAAATTAACAATCAAATGCAACAAGTTAACATTAAATTTTAAATTCATCTAATTTATATTCAAATTCATCCGATTAACACTCAATTAATCAAATTAACATCCAAAATTATTTAATAATTATTCAATTTATCAAATTAACATGAAAGTAACTTGGAATTTCATTCAATTAAAATTTAATTTTACAAATTAACATTCAATTCATCAAATTAATATTAAATTGAATTTATCAAATCAGCACCAAAGTAACATGCAATTTTATTCAATTAAAATTTAATTTTTCAAATTAATATTCAATTCATCAAATTAACATTCAATTTTATCTAATTAATATTTAATTTTTTTTAATAAGTATTTAATTCATTAAATAAACATTCAAATTCAACTAGCTAAAATTAAATTAATCAAATAAACTTTCAATTTCATTCAATTAACACTCAATTCATTGAAATTAACATTTAAATTAAGTAGTTAACATTAAATTTAACAAATAAACATTCAATTTCATCCAATTAATATTAAATTCATAATAATTAACACTAAGTTATCATCCAATTAACACTAAAATAAAAAAATTGAATTCAAAAATCATCCAATAAAGATCAAATATATCAAATCAACACCAAATTAACATGTAATTTCATCTAATTAATATTTAATTCATCAAATTAATACTACATTAATATTCAATTAATCAAATTAACATTCAATTTTATCTATTAAACACTGAATTCATGAAATTAACATTCAAATTCAACTCTTTTTTTTTTGAGGGGGAGGGAGATTTGAACCCTTAATCTCAAGAA